ACTTAGAACTCCAGCTCTGAAACTTACTTCTCTTTAATACTGGAAAAATCACTTAGCCCAAATCTCATAAATTATGAAATATGGATTCTCTTAGCATACCTACATTCACAAGGATATTGAAAGTCAGAGAATACAAAGCAAATATCAAGCATGTACTGGTAACTCAATGCATATATGGGGGGTTGAACTAAATATAAGATCAAAAACAAATGTTACTACTGAATTCAGGTATGAGATGAGCAAAACCTGAGATAGGACAGGCAACAAAACAAAACAAAAAACAGGAATGGAGATAAAAATAGCATTACCAGGATGTGGTATTAGATTAAAGCGAGTAAAGAGCACTGAATCAGTGTTATGGAAGTATAATTTCAGGTATCAACACAGAACATAAAAACTCCAGCCTCATCTGTGTAAGGAAATCACACACATCTTTTAACCCAAATGCATAAGGCATACCTTAACAAACCCAACCCAACCAACTCTGACCTCACCAGTCTCTGATCTCATCTTATACATCCAAAAGTACATGGTGTCGTAGAGATTTCCTTCTCCTCTCATTATAACCAATATCCAGATACGATATTATACAATCTGAGTTACCAAGATTCAGCCTGTTACAAAGCATCAATATTCAATTACCTACTCCATCAAGTTTCATACTATATTAATATCAGCACAATAGCAAAACTTAGTTTAGTAACCTACCAAAATTAGTAAGACCTTCCTAAGATCTTAAATGTTTAAGAGCCCTAATATCTATGGACAATAAAAGCTTGTTAAATAAAGTACTTATAACTCTTCTTTAAATGCCTTCTTGTAACCTTGTTTCAAAACTGATTTAAGAGATCATCTAATAGTATTAAGAGAAAATGTTTAGCTTAAGATATATAAGAATATAAGTAGTTAAGTGAACATTGCATATTCTCAGGAAGGAACATCAATAAAGGGTTTCTCCAAACAGCCCCAGCCTTGTCATCATCCTTTTTTCTTGTTCCTCTGTGGCCGTCCTTACAAGACTCTGTTTATCACAGCTTGGGAGTGAGTGGCTGAGATACTCAGTAAGAAAGTTTAAATACCTCTTGAATCAAAAACATGTGGAATTGTGGAATGGCATCCAAGTATCTGCATTCTTTAGAGTTGTGAGCTATTTGGTTAAGATGAGAGCAGGGTACCTCAGTTCATGCAGTATGCTCGTACCTCCTACCTCAGGACCTCCTCTGTTGCCAAATAGGTACCAGTAGCTATTTACATACTTACTCCTTGTAAACAAGGAAGATTATATAAATAAATATAATAGTTTCAAATGTGTCAACCAACAAATGTCTCAAAAATATCTTATATTAAAAAGTAAATTGGTAACTGTTTTCAAAAACCAATTCTCCCAATCAAGGTCAGTCACTACTAAATAATACTGCATTTGACAAACCTCTCTCTCTGTTGTCACGCCGGTCTCTCTCTCCATGTCTTCTCTCAAAGGAAGAATCCCTTGCTTGATCTCTGTTGTCTCTTTCAGGGTATCTGTCTCTCTCAGGATAGCTACTTCGAGTTTCCCAGCTGTCATGGTAGTTGCTACTACTACTGTGACTATCAATTTGAGAACCTCTTGTGCCTCGACTTCCTAAACAAAGGATATTCACACAAATGTTTAAACACATATACTATATTCAACAACTTTTGTCAGTCAGAATCTTTCCCCCCAAAAAACACAGATAGAGGTGTTTTTTGTTTTGTTTTTTGGTGTTCCAAAGAACAGTAATCATTGCTGAAAAGAATATTAAATATTGGATCAGAAATACCCAAGTTGTCTGAAGACTGACTTGGGCTAGCTGAGTCTCAGTTTTCCCTATCAAAAACAATCATATGGTGGAGTCATAAGGCAAGAGGACTCATTTCATTTAACCCAAAAAACAACAAAACAAAAAACAGGACTATCTATTCATATCTAATTTACAGAAATATTATGAAAATCATGAAAAATATGGTATTATTGTTTTGATTACAGTTTATAGTGAAAACATTCCAATATAGAATCAAGGTACTTTGCTGACATTAAGTGGAACCTGAAAATTTTTGTTAAAAAATGCGGGAAATTGATGTTTATAGTAGCTTTACTTGTAAAAGCCAAAAATCAGAAAATACCCGAATGACTTTCCATGGGTGAGTGGTCAAACAAACTGTGGTATAGCCAGACCATAGAATACTAACAATAAAGGACAAGCTATTGATACATACAACAACTTAGATGAACCTCAAGGAAATTATGCTGAATGAAAAAGATAATCTCAGCAGGATACATACAGCAAGATTCCATTTATATAACATTTGAGGAATAATTGTAAGATGGAGGACATATTAGTGGTTGTCAGGGGTCAGGAACAAGGGAGGGGATTTAGATGTGGCTATAAAAGGGGTTAATGGTGATGGTACAGTTGAGTATCTTGATTATGGGAACGATAATGCAAGGCTACACAGTCACTAAGGAAAACAGTAACTCAGAAAGTTAAAAATAGAACTACCATATGATCCAGCAATCCCACTTCTGGGTATACAGTTGAATCCTGAAGAACATGGGGGTTAGGGGTACCAACCTGAGACAATAAAAAAATCTGTATATAACTTTTGATTCCCCCAAAATTTAACTACTAATAGCCTACTGTTATCAGAAGCCTTACTGATAATAAACCAGAGAAAAAATTTTCAAATTGTTGCAAATCTCCAAAAATTTTTCAATATATTTAGTGAAAAAAAGCCCTGTATAAGTGGACATATACAGTTCAAACCCATGTTGTTCAAGGGTCAACTCTATATCCAAAGGAACTGAAATCAGGATATGGAAGAGATATCTGTACTCCCATCTTCATTGCAAGCCAAGACATGGAAGCAACCTAAATGTCCACTGACAGACAAATGGATAAAGAAAATGTGATACAGACATATAATGGAATATTATTCAGCCTTAAAAAAAGAAAGGAAATCCTGTCATTTGAGACAACATGGATGAACCTGGAGGACATTATACTAAGTCAGACACATAAGGACAAATACTATACATGACACCACTTAAATGTGGAATCTAAAAGTCAAACTCTTAGAAGCAGAGAATAGAATGGTGGTTGATAAGGGCTGAAGGGAGAGGGGAATAGGTAGGTCATTAGTTAAAGGGTTAGTCAAAGAGTACAATTAATTAGTCAAAGGGTACTACAAAGTTTCAGTTGTACAACAGGAATAAGTCCTAGAGATCTACTGTACAGTATAGTGCCTACAGTTAGTAATACTATACTATCTACTCAACAATTTGGTAAGAGGGTGGATCTTACTTAGGTCAAGCATTCTCATCACATACACAATACTAATAAATAGAGTGAGAGGAAACTTGCAGGTGACAGATCTGTTTATGGCATAAACTGTGATGGTTTCATGGGTATACACTCATCAAATTGTATACATTAAAAGTGTGCAGCTTTTTGTATGTTGGGTATAGAGGACACACACACACAAAACAGGCTTTGAGCATAATTCTAAATAATTTTGACAATATGTCAATGATCAAAATATCTGTAAGAAATATTTTAATAATTAAAGACCAGAAGGAAGAAATTTACATTTTTTAGAAGACTACAAATGAGCTATATATAACACCTAGAAAGGAAAAGGTTAAACATCAGATTAGATGCTGTTAAGAAAAAATTATTAATAAAAGATATACCTGAGGATACAACCTAGAAAGTTAAAGGATAAAAATGAAAAATTTGAAAGGAAAGTTAAGAACTTCAAGGAAGACACAATAAGATTTAACATATGTCTAATAAATGCTGTTTAGAGTCATATTTAAAACAAAAAGACATAGAAAGATTGAAAGGGTGGAAAAAGACATCAAACAAATACTAACCAAGAAATCTGTGAGCAAAATAACATACAAGACAAAAAGCACTCTTAGGGTAAAGAGGGTCATTCTATAATAATAAAAGGAATAATTTGCCTTATGTTTATCTTATAGCAAAGCCTCAAAATACCTAGAGCAAAAATTGATCAAATTATGCAAAATGAACAATTCACCATGATTGTGGAAGATTTACATCTTTGTAATGTTAGAAAAAGCAGGCTAAAAAAATTGAATGTATATTTGAAAGCATGGTTAACAAACTTGATCTCAGAAACACATTTTTCATTTAAACAATAAAAGCATATATACAACATTTATAAAAACTGACTGTTGAGCCTCTGAATAAATACAAATGCCAAAGAACTGATTTCAAAGAGTCTTCTCTGATCATTAAAACTGGGGAATGGGATTTATTTTAAAAAGCATGGTTGGAAATTTAAAATCCTGTTTGTACATGACTCATGAGTCAATGGAGAAATCTTAGGAAGTGTTTAGATTAAAACTTATTAAAACTTAGGAAGTGTTTAGAATGTTTACTAATTAATAAGTACCACACATTTCAGAACAAAGTAAAACGTAAGAGTATAAACTAATGAAATAAACAAAAGAAATACAAAAGAATATAAACAAAACCAAAGATCAGTTCTTTGCGAAGACTCAAAATGACAAACCTCTGGAAGACTGAGAAAGAAAGAAAAATAAGGGAATATAATTACAGATAGAATAGAGATTTAAAATTTGAAAACAAATTTCCTGGAAAAATAAAACTTACTACACTGCTTCAAGGAAAAACAAATCTATATTACAGTAATCTAAATCTATAATTCTTAAAGAAACTCAATTGGTAGTAAAAGCTCTGACCATCAGAAAAATGACGAGACAAACATCAAACTGTCAAGAACAGGTCACTAATCATATGTAAATTGTTCCAAAGAGGAAAAAAGAAACAGTAGTTCCAAACACATTTTATATGGCTAGTGTAACTTTGATCCCCAAACCAAACAAGGACTATATAAAAAATGAACTACGCAGCGGTACACTAGAACTGGTTCGCACTAGCTCTAAACAGTCAATTGTGTGCATCTCTTCCCTGCTCCACATTGAGTGACATCATGTTTAGTAGCTCAGAATCTGCTGTGGCAGGATTACCATGGAAATGGGCAAAAGCAAAAAGTCAGAACTTTTCTTCTGAAGAGTCAGTTGTTAAATATTTACCATCATATCCTTCACTATATGCCAATCTCAATTAAAGAGATGGTTAATTCAAACAAATTTTAACAAGTCTATTATAGAACTTTAAAAAAACTGAAAAAATTTCAGTTGCCTAGAAAGGCAAGGGTAGTTCTAAATTTAAAAAAATATACACTTGCCCTTGAACAATGTGGGATTTGGGGGTGTCAACCCCTGTATACTCAAAACTCTGCATGTAACTTTGGCTCCCCAGAAACTTAACTACTAACAGCCTACTGTTGACTGGAAGCCTTACTATTAACATAAACAGCTGATTAACACATACAACATTTATACATGTTATATGTATTGTATACTGTATTCTTACAATAAAGTAAGCTAGAGAAAAGAAAATGTTACTTTCAAATTGTCCCACGTATCCAAAAAAATTTTTTTTGAAAACCACCTGCATGTAAGTGGACCTGTATGATTCAAGCCCACATTTCAAGGGTCAATTTTTTAACATAAGGTAAAAGAGACACACTATGATCTCAAGATACAGAAAAAACAGTCATGATAAAACCTGGGAAAATTAGGAGACATCCTTAACACAATAAAAGCATCTGCTGACAATCTACAACCACCATGCTTAACGGTGAAATGTTAGCAATAATCCTTTAAAATCTTAAACAAAGCAAAGAAGTCCATTAAGCCATTTATACTCAACACCAGATTGAAAGAGCTGCTCAGCAGATTATTGACAGTAAATAAATAATAATCAAAAAGAACCAAATCTGTCTGTTCCCAGACATATTTAAGAGAATCTAATTAGATCTATGAAAATATCACATATAAGATTTATAAAAATCAATTACCATCCATACCCCAGCATTAAGCATTAGAAAATGAAATGTTTTAAAAGATACCATTTAGTGAGAATTGTACAGTTATTCATGGAAACACACTGTTCCAAAATAAAAATGATTGGAACACCTAAACATCGACCAGTGTAGCACTTATAGTAGTCTCCCCTTATCTGTGATTTTCCTTTCCACGTTTCAGTTACCCATGATCAACAACGGTCTAGAAGCTGATAATCCTTCTCTTGACATAGCCTCAGAAGGCTAATAGTAGCCTAATGACACATCATTACATTATTAACTTCACTTCATCTCATCACACAGGCATTTTTATCATCTCAAATCTCATAAAAAGGGTGAGTACAGTATAGTAAGAAACTTTGAGACCACATTTACTTGATAAAGTGTTTACTTGATAAAGTAAAGTTTATCACAGGAATGTATATATAGGAAAAAACATGATATACATAGAGTTTTGTACTATCCACAGTTTTAGGCATCTACTGGGGGTCTTGAAACTATCCACTGTGGATAAGGGGGGACTATTTTATTAACTTTGTAGTATATCCTACAACAGACACTATGTGTCAAAAGAAGGAGGTAGCTGTTTACCAAGATGACTGATATGGAATGATCTCCAAGATATTTTTAAGTGAAAACATCAGGGTATAAAGCAGTACGTAGTTGTCTTTTTTAAAAATTAAATACGTGCTGTATAGAATATTTCTGGGAAGAATACAGTAAAATTGGCAAGAGAAGGAGCTAAGTCAGGGCAGAGGAAGGATTTTCACTATGTATCTTTTTGTACCTTTGAAATTTTGAATCATATGAATTCATTATTAAAAAAGAGTTATTTGAAAGTACCATTTAAAATGGCAACAATAATGGTGAGTAGCCAGGAATTAAAATATGTATAAGACCGTAACAGAAAAAGCTGTAAATTGATAAATTTAATGCATCTGAAATAAAAATCCAATGGTTTTTCCACAAAATTAAAAAAAAAAAAATCCTCATTTTTAAGATGTATATGGAAAAGTAATGGGTGAAGAAAAGCCAAGACAACTATGTAGGAAAAAGTGAGGGAGGGGCCTTTACCTTAATGTGAGGCTGTAACACTGACCAAGACGGAAAGAGTAAGACTGAACAGAATTCTGAAGCAGTGTTCTCGGGGAGGGTGGAAGAAGAGAAAGGCCAAAGTAACTCATTCCAAGCAGTCTGGAGACAGTCAGATACATCTGGGTAGGTATTTATTGGGTAATGGCAAATGTTTTTCAGGGAAAGATAATAAAAATGGTTCAAGATCCTGATGTGTGATGATCTGAGGTGGTCTAAAACAAGCACAAATATTGAATATACAAATCAATAATTATGACACCATCAATTTTGAAAACCTAACATTCAAACCCAACTTTAATGATCATTTATCATATATATATATATGTACCTGTTTATCAGAAATTACTTCCTTTTGATTCTTTTTGGCCTGTTAGCAATTTTCTTAGTGTTCTACATTAATCAAGATGGTAAGGCATGACTGGATATATAACTCAACCAGAGGGTCTAGGTAAGGCCCTATTTATCTTCTCCTACTTGAGCTAACAACTCCTATTTAGAATTTACAGGGAAGATCACAACTTTAATTAACTGAAAATTATGTTGACAAAATTATGATAATGAATGTAAGAAATAATATATTTAGAAAAGAAATATTAAGAGACTTGATTTCTGTATGAACATACAAGACAGAGTTCACTGACTAGTCAAAAACCTTACCCTTTTCAGGTAATTCCAGAACTCTTCCCCTACTTCTGCCAATCCGGTCATTCCTAATTTCACTTCGAGACTCATTTCTGGAATCACTCCTTATTTCAGTACGAGAACTTTCTTCTCTCAGGTGATTCCTGCCGTAACTTCGAGAGTCTTCCTGGTATGTGTCCTCCTTTCGATGAGTATCCCGACTTTCACGGTCCCTGTAGTCATGGGCCTCACGAGCAGACCGAGCATCTCTGGGGTCGCGGCTCTCTTTACTGTCTCTGCTGTAGTCTCTCACCTCCCGGGTGTCCCGACTGTCCCTGGAGTCTCTTAGCTCCCTTCGGTCTCTGGTTTCCCTGGCATCTCTCCGGTCTCGACCGTCTCGAGGCTCTCTGTCATCTCTGTGGTCTCTAGAAGAGCTCTGATCTTGTTCATATTCTCGTTCATCTCTTGAGTCCTTTTCTCTATCCCTTTTGCCTCTAGTCTCTGTAATGCAATTTTAGAAATCAACCATAATTGCTTTCACAAAATTTTGGAAACTAAACAATATATTAAATATGGAACTTATAAATGTTTTGAAAATGTCAGCTCATATTCTTTGTAGAAAATAAAAGTAGAAAACATGGGCAAATAAGAAAATTAGAACCATCCATAAACTAAAATTCTAAAGGTTAACTTTTATTAACATTTGGATAACTATGTTCTTGACTAGATAAACTGGATTTGAATATGATCTTTCCCTGCCCTAAATTACCCATACTTACAGATCTTAAACAACTGAAACAAGTAAGTTAATCTCATATGCATAGCTTACTTTTCAGAAACCACTTTTAGATTCAGAGGCACACAGGACTTTAATCATCCCTACCAAGACTTAGGTCAGACTATACCACTCAAGACCATCTCAAATGTGCTTAAGCACTTGACAGTGACCAACAGTTAGTAAGCTGGCTGGCATAGAGATAGTGCTGTTCACCCTCTCTTTTCTTGAGCCATTTAATGGAGTCACACTCCTGTTCCCAAAAGCTTTCTCTACTTAAAGCATTTTCTAGAATAATAAATAAGTGATTTTGGTTTTTAAAAAGCTGGATTGAACCTGATCATTTAATCCAATCTTGTCATTATATAAATGAAGAAATAGAAGCCTAGAGCTTAAATGACTTAGTCAACCCCACAGCTCACAGGAATTTGCAAAGGTTAGAAACTTTTCTTCAGATATGCCTACAATAAGCATAAACTAGATACAGCATAAATCTGGTATGACGGAATCTGATTAAAAAAGATAAAGGCCATTTTTCTTTGAGGTTCTCTTGGAAACTGACTTCATAAGTTGCTTTTACACTCTGTAATTGCCTCAAGATTTGAGGCTATTTTCACAACTGTAGCAGCTTTCTACTTAGGACATTATAAATTTACCTCCTTTTCTCTGTGTCCTAAATGGCTAGGTTCACAGACTTTCTCAAGTATCCAAACAGCTAGTATTCACAAAATTCCCTAGATTCTTACAGTAACTTACCTCCTCTGCTACTTCCACAGATGCCATTTAAGAAAAGAAGCACCCAACTAGGATTTGATCTCTCCATCCCTTTTTGTGCACACCTATCACTTCTAGTACTCCTCCAATACCAACTGTGCCTAAATATATGTTCACCTACTACAAGGTTCTTCTCTCACAATGTCCCCCATATATCTTTACAAATACATCTAGTTACTATATTTTGTTCTTTACCCTACCTCCCCACTAGTTATTATTTCAGAAAGTGAAATTTAAATAGAGAGGAACAAACATCTGCTACATCTTTTGTACAGAAGGCTAAAGAAACATCCTGTTTACAAAGAACCTAAACACATATGGTTTATTTTAAAAGGATTCTTCCTGTAACATAAGCCATTCTTAAACCCAAAAAAGCATTCCTGTAAGACTCAATGGCATACTATTTCCCCTTCATTATTGGGTTCAATTAAGTTTTCAGTCAATAAGTAGTCATTAAATGTATACTATATACCTGGTTGATTGTAGTTGCTAAATATCTTATTAAAAGTAGTAGATGGTGTAAAAGAATTTTCCCATCTTACCAATGTTCCATAATACTTTTGTGCTGCTCTGGTTCCAAAATCATGTATATACAGCATAATTCTAAAAAACAGGTGCTCTCTCTGATCCCTACCCATGCATCCATCATTTTCTTGAATAAGATAATTTGATTAATTATTGCTTGCACTGTTAATGGGAAAAGAGTAAGTTCAACATGTTTCATAGGAGGCTGATGTACTATACTCACAAAGAGGCTTTTAAAATGCAGATTAAAAAGAAACGCTTCAGGGAAGCAAGTATTTCCTGAGTACTCACTATGTTAAAAAACTAACTCAGGAGAAGTTAAGGAAAAAAAAACTTGTTAAGTTAAATAAATAAGGACAAGAAACTTAGACAAGAAGTACCAGAAGAGATGAAAGCATTTCCACTACTATATTGTCAAGTAATAGCATCTCAGCTTGAACAGGAAGAAGCAAATCCAAAGTTAACTTAATTCTTGGGGGTCTAGAAAGGAAAACTGTTTTGCTTACTTCTTTCTTGAGTTACACCTAGAATACTCATCACTTGGTTTGCACTAATCTTCTGAAAGTTCCCCCAGCCCTCATCTCTTTATCAAACCACTTCTGATGCTTTCAAATTCTCTCCCCTGTTTTGCTTTTCTTACCTTCACTTCGTTTTTTTTTTTTCTTGAGAGGGCATCTCTCATATTTATTGATGAAATGGCTGTTAACAACAATAAAATTCTGTATAGGGGACTTGATGCACAATCATTAATCAACCCCAAGCCTCTCCAATTCTCAACAGTCTCCAATCTTCTGAAGCATAACAATAAGTTCTTACAAGGTGAACAAATTCTTACATAATGAAAAAGTTCTTACATGGTGAACAGTGCAAGGG